CCAAAGAAATGGTCTGATACACTTTATTACAAGTTTATCGATCTGCTTACCCAGACAAATATACGTAATTATCTTTGCCCATAAAGACCAGTGTGAAACAGGATTCCTCCATTGAAAGCAATGAGATTACTCAAATACAATGAAAAGAGACAGGACTAGCAGATACGAGGCATTTGCATCCCACCTCCAGCTCCACTGAAATCCCCACTGCCACATCCTAATTCAAGTCTACTAGCCTCAGAATGTGCAAAACCTAAGCCAACTTGACCAGCACCATTTTCAGTCTCCCAGGTATCTATCAGTTCAGGAAGGGAGATAGCAAGTATTACATTTCTGTCACAACGTGGAGCCTTTTCATTTGGAAAATTAAAGGGGAAATATCATTTTGAAATATTTTTTTCAGACAACAGACATTCAGTAACTTGGGTTTTAACATAACACTATACACAATTTTAAAATTTTAAGGTACTAGATTACAAATCTGCAGTATTACTGGTGACGTTCCAAGTTAGTGCTATCAACAGTGAATTTTGGGTCCTAGCCAGTTTGGCTCAGTGGCTAAAGCACTGGCCTGCGGACTGAAGGGTCCCCGGTTCGATTCTGGTCAAGGGCACATACCAGGTTTTGGGCTTGATCCCCAGTAGGGGGTGTACAGGAGGCAGCCAATCAGTGATTCTCTCTCATCATTGATGTTTCTATCTTTCTCTCCCTCCCCTTTCCTCTCTGAAATCAATAAATATATATATTTTTTAAAAACAGTGAATTTTGGTAAAAAGTGTATAAAAGGGTCTTTTTTGCCCTAAAGCACCTACAATCTGGACTGAGGCCCTACTGTTTCCATGATCTTTGTACTTTATGTGAATCTTCCCAAATGTCTAGAACCACTGAAAAATCAGCTCATGTTGCTCTGAATTCACGAGGCCTTAGTCACCTTGCGTTACACTGGCCTCATGCATGGGTAAGGATTCTCTGATGACAATGAGCCTTGTCATAACTGGGTTACAAAATGTGACTGTCCCGAATCTCTGACCTTCTCATAATCCTGAACCTTCATTTCTTATTAATCTGTATACCAGAGGGTTATCCCACAATCCCATTTTTGGATCTATACCCTAAGGAAACTCTCACACCTGTACTCAAGGAGACCCAAGGATGCTTATTATAGAACTGATGTAATAATGAACATCTTAAAGAATCTAAATGTCCATCAACAGGGCAATGGCTAAACTGTGGTTAACATTTAAATTTTTACTTGATTTGCAGAGAACTAGAACATTTTAAAAACACACCTACTGTACCAGAAGCAGTGCAATGAGATGGAAAGACTATCTAGTCAGGAATCCAAGGTCTACACGCAGACCTTGAGCAAGTTCCATGACTTGGCCCGGCTGAGATTCCCATCTGGTACAAGGAGATGATGTGTAGCAATCGCACAGCACAGTGCCCTCACACACACAGTAATGTTCAAGGAAAGATAAAATTAGCTAATAATAGCTGCAGTAGGATCTAGTAAGCACAAGGAACCGAATATCTCTGATTATTTCAGCATTAACCATAAATTATTTTATCATTTACATGGAGACACCTGAATAGACTCTTTTCTGATCAAGTAGAAACATAATTGATTCTTGATGACTATGGATTATAGTGTATCTCAAGGCCTGAGATACACTGATTCTCACTGTTCAGTTGTGTGGACAAAGGAGGAAAGAGAAAACATGATGGGCATTTGTAAAATCACAAGTCCAGGGCAGGCACTTGCACCACCCTGGGAGCAGGTTGACTGTGCCTGTTTCACAGAGGAGAGAACTGATGCTCTGGCAGGGTAAGTCACGTGCCCAGAGTCACACACCTCATAAAAAGTGAGGCTGGAATTCGAATACAAGTATGTCCAACTTCCAAGTCCCCATGTGTAAATTCAGGACAAATCCCTGATGTCAGAATATACTTTTTCTATTTATTTACCTAAATGTTAATTATAGCAAAAATAAGTTTCCTGTCATTTTAATTTCAAAAATTTGATTTCAAGAGAAATATAAAGCATTATAGAGGTTTAGAAAAAAACTACTATATATTTTGTTTTTATTTTTTCCCTGTGCCCTTTTTTCCATTGTCATGATAATATTTATTTATTGTGTATCCTGAACCTTTCTTATAACATGGAAACATCCTACTCATTTTCCGTGAGGCTCCTGGTCTTCTTTACTTACTTTTAGAAACTGCACAATCTCACACAGAATGGGTAATTTTCTCTTTTAGAAATTATTTCATGTAAATAGTTTAATCATATAGAGGAGACATGTATACCAAACATACCTTTTTAAAAATTTTCCCATGACATTTTAATAAAATATTTTCTTTATCTTTATTGCTGAAAATATTACAGATGCCCCCTTTTCCCCATTGATTCCTTCCATCCTGAACCCCCGCCCCCTCCTTCAGAAGCATGGAACAGACTGACAAAGCTTAGAGGGAAGGAGGGAGGGGGGTAGGAAGAGATTAACAAAGAACTTATAAGCGTATATGCATAACCCATGGATCCAAATATATCTTTTTAAATCAGGCCTTCTAAACAAACATTCTTTGAATTCTCTACCAATACACATTGCCGAGTTTCAGGGACAAAATTAGAACAACAACAGTATAACTGGGGGTGTATGAAATAAATGATAAGACTTTTTAAAATTCTTTTTTAAATGTCCAGTGAAAACATTAGACAACATGATAAAATCCTCTTTAACTCAGTACTTATTAAAGCAACCAATTAGTTCAGGTATTAACAATCTGCTGTGACAAAACCATAACAATTAGCCTGTTAGAAACTCCACCCACCAAACTTGAAACAACAGGGACACTGCCATAAAATTATCCCATGTGCAGGCAGCATGCCCTGTGGAAAGATCCCCAGAGTAGACTTCTCTGAGACCCAAGTTCTTACCCTCAAATACTCCTCCCAGCCACACGTGCGACTGTGGGCATGCCACCCCACTGTCACACTCACCTACTCCATTTGACCAGGAGAGGACCAATGAAGGACCATGAGAACACGTCAAGGAGCCAGAATGAGCTACCTCATTCACTGCTGGTGGGAACATGAATCCGTACAGCCACTGTACTAAACAGTATGGAGCTACCTCCAAAAATTAAAAATAGAAATACCATATAACCAAGCAATCCCTCTTCTGGGTATCTACCCAAAAAATCTCAAAACATTTATTCATAAAGATATATGTTCCCTGCAGCATTATTCACAGTGGCCAAAACATGGAAACAACCGAAGTGTTGATAGATAGATGATTGCATAAAGAAAATGGAATCCTACTCAGCCATTAAAAAAAAAATACTGCCATTTGTGACAACATGGATGAATCTTGATATGTTAAACAAAATAAGTCAGATGGAAAAAGATAAGAACCATATGATTTCACTCATATGTGGAATATTAAACAGAAATCGACAAATTAAAACTCATAGACATGTCCTTATCAGTGTTTCTCAGTGGCAAGAGCATAGGCCTGAGCACCAAAGAGTTGTGGGTTCGATTCTGGGTCAAGGGCATGTACCTGGGTTGCTAGTTTGACCCCTGGCTCTAGTCAGGGCACGTGCAGGAGGCAACCAATCGATATGTCTCTCTCACATTGATCTCTCTTTCTCTCACTCTCCACCCCACTTCTTCCCTCCCTCCCCCATCTTCTCTCCCTTCTAGTGTCTCTAAAGATCAATGGAAAAATATTCTCAAGTGAGGATTAACAATAACAAAACACACACACACACCAAAAAACACCTCATAGACACAAGACAACAGTATGGTGGTTACCAGAGAAAAAGAGGGGTAGGAGAAAGTAGAAGAGGGTAAAAGGAGTCAGTGGTGACTGGAAGGGGATTTAACTTTGGGTAGTGAACACACAATGCAATATACAGATGATGCATTATAGAATTATACACTTGAAACCTATATAATCTTATCAATTACTGTCACCCCAATACATTTAATAATTTAAAAAATAAAAACAACTTCATGCCCAGCTGGTGTGGCTCAGTGGTTGAGCATCGACCTATGAACCAGGAGGTCATGGTTCGGTTCCCAGTGAGGGCACATGCCTGGATTGCAGGCTCAATCCCAGTGGGGGGCATGTAGGAAGCAGCCAATCAATGATTCTCTCTCATCATTAATGTTTCTATCTCTCCCTCTCCCTTCCTCTCTGAAATCAATAAAAATATATTTAAAAAATAAAATAAAGTAAAATAAACCAGAAAGTTTCAAAAGGCAACATTTGAATTTGCACTCACCAAGTACTACCCTGAACCCACATGAATGATGTATAGGCGTACTCTGCTATAGCCTCCTGACATTTCACAGATCCTCCATCTCTCTCCAGTACTCATTTGAGTATTGTTCACCTCACATCTTGTTCATAGGCCATCTATATATATATAAAAGCCTAAGCGACCGAACAACTGGTCGACTAGTTGCAATGACGCGCACTGACCACCAGGGGCAGGCGCTCAACGCAGGAGCTGCCCCCGGGTGGTCAGTACACTCCCACAGCGGGAGCGCCGCTCAGCTGACCAATGTGTGCTAGACGCAGGACTCACAGTTGGCCGCAGACCACAGCCTACCAAGTGGTGGTGGTGGCAGGCGCAGCAGGGCCGGGATGAGCAGGAGCAGCAGGCAGGAGCGGCAGGCGGCAATGGACTGCTGGTTTTGGCCCAATCCCTGCAGGCTACGCTGAGGGACCCCACGAGTGCATGAATCCGTGCACTGGGCCAATGGTTTTATATAAGGAACTTCAGCAGCCACCATTTTAGTACCCAGTAAGGGTCCTGAAAGCAATCCCCTACAATACCAAGGGACAACTGTACCTTGAAGTGATCTTCACTTTAATTTCTCCAAATTATGATATTGGTAGAGTTTCATAATGAGGCCAAAGTCCCCATTACCCTTTAGCCTGCCTAATCTCTTCCTCAAGTACCCAGTGCAAATTGGGGGCCATGCCTACCCTGGTGTCTGAGATGCATTCTTCACTGCAACCTTGAGAATTATGACCAGTTGCAAATCTAAAAACAAAAAATAAGCCAAGCTGTGAATACAGGGAGTGGCATGAGATCAGAAATAAATTGGGGGTGTCTTTGAAAGCATGGTCTAGACCAGCGGTCGCCAACCGGTGGTCTGCGGACCACTGGTGGTCCATGAGGTCCGAAAGGTTGGCAACTGCTGGTTTAAGGAAACCTTTGGAGCAGCAGTCGCCAACCGGTGGTCTGCACACCACTAGTGGTCTGTGAGGTCCAAAAGGTTAGCGACTGCTGGTCTAGACAGCCATGCTTCCTGAGACCAACAGGGCTGGGACTGGCAGGGGCTGCAGCAGTTACCTGGCGCAAATCCCCTGGCTCAGAAAAAACCCCTGGCTTACAATTTTTAGTCTTAATTTTCTATACAAAAGAGGTGTTCTGCCTTGACATTAAATCTCTCTGGGGCCATGCAGAATATTTCAGAAAAGTGTCCAAATAGTCCTGTGATACAGAAAGACTGAGAAGGGAGAGTGTATTTGATGTACAGGCCTAGCACTCCTACCCTGCACAGTTACTCTTCTTTCAGCCTTGGCTTCCTCAATGACAGCAGGGTTCCTCCCACTGTGTGACTTGATGACCAGCACAGAGATAAGTGCTGTATTCCCTGGTGATTGAAAAAGAAGAAGATTATTCTCATAGCACAGACGGGTCTCCCTTAGCCAGCAATCAGACTGTTTAAAAGTGAGGGTTTTGATTTTCCTGGTAGTTAGGGAAGAAGCTAGAGCCCTGTCTGGCATCAATGACCTACTTAGGACCTCAGAAGTGTTTTTACAAGCTCAGTAAAACTTTAAGGTAGTTAAGTGTCCGATTTATCTTTCAGTTTCACATATTGTTAAGAGCAGACCCCAAGTCGCAAATGTCAGTCTCAGCCTTTCGGAAAGCACCTTTGAACCTTCATATGTGTTTCATCTGTTGCCTTCCTTAGACACGTTGACGGTTTTAGGCCTGGAGATTGTGTCCACACATGATAGGTGCTGCACAGGATTTTAGTGGTCTCTGATTTTTTGCACAGTCTGGGGCATTCTGAGTCACTCTTTCTCCTGACTGCCTCAGATTTCAGTAAAACTTGCTTCAGCAATGCTGGAGGCTCCTATAACCCAGGAGATGTCCCATACATATTACATGAGCATAACAGGTTACGAGTACAAAGTTCTAAAAATTTCAAAATCTCAAAAAAACAATAAAATCTGAATATAAGAAAATCAACAACTACATTAACACAAACTTGTAATAAAGATACAAATTCTGTCCAGCCACGTTCTGTGTATGTATCACTTTCTAACAAGGCAGGGTAGTACTGAATAATGACAGCTACAAGAAACTCACACATACCCACCTTTAGAAGGTTTCAGGTTGGTGTTTTCTCTCAAAATTCAATACTATTCAGTATTTTCTTTAAATATATTTCCTTTAAATGGTAAATATGGTTAGGTATATTCCAAATATAATATTTTTAAAGGCTAAAAAGTTACAGTAATGGATTTAATTATTTTTAAATCTGCTCACAAATCTGACAATAGAGAAAATGGAGGTTAAATTAATATAGACAGTATTTATATTATTCATTTAAGGAAAGCCTTTGGATTTTAGAAGTACAGGTAACTTTACTAAAAAAGCTTAAAAAATTATAGCTAAACAAAGAGATTTTTTTGGTGTGGCATCTTTCTTTTGCCACTTGTAATTCTGTGAGTTAGCAATAACTGATTTTAATTACTTCAAAATAAATGGGAAATGGTTTGGGTTTTAATGTAATTTTTTAAAAGGTGGTAATAAATTTAATAGCAATATATATATATATATATATATATATATATATATATAATTAAAATTTCTATACTTAATGCTTGAATTTCAGACAGCATTCAAGCATTCCTAACTTCACAACCTCCTAACTGTACTCCTTCCCTCCTACACCCTAGCACTACCTCAGCACCATCCTCCCAGCCTCTACTCTCACACAAAATTAAGCCAAAGGTTCATTTCTATTTTGTCAAATTCTAATCTTATGCTCCCAAAGTATCCCCCAACACACAACACGACCATGTCAACAGTCTCTTCTTCTCCAAAGTCAGAGGGTTCACAAAAGTGTGATGGCACTCGACAGATAGTGGAAATCAGTTACAAAACTCCAAAGTCCCACTGATCCCCACACCATATTATAGACAAAATGGTTAGTCAGCCACAAAGCTATTTCAGTATATTTCTGCTGCCATTTCTTAGTGAGAAAATGACTTTTAAAAGCTAGTCAAAGAACCATGAAAGGCAAGGCTAATAAAGCCGTTGCTGGTTTCAGTTCTGGTACCCAAAGTCAATGGCAATAGCGATGGATCCTGAGACGTGCATTACGATAAATACTGAAAAACAGCAGCATCGTAGGCATGGAGACTACAGGAACTGCAGACCAAAAACCAAACCTCGAACCCCCATACTCACAAAGCTAAAACGTTTCCTCGTGTGAGAAACAGAACCACCACTAACAATTTTTGAAAATATTTGAGTCTTGGCTCAACTGGATAATTTTGTTTCTGCACTGAAAACCATTCCATTCAAATTCCCAAAGTCTATGAGTAGATTCGTACTCAGATTCGTACTACTTTTGAGACATAGTTTCCTTCCAAACCCAAAGAAATGAAAGGCAGAAACCAGCAAAAGAAAAATATTAAATAACATATATAAGATGGTTTACCATTTTATGAAAAACAAATGAAGAATTAAACTCACATCACACTGATAAACTGAGAGGCTGCCAGTGGCTTTCAGGGCAGATGTAACATTTTAACAAATGTGATTGTTTGTGAACAAAATAATTCTGATCAAAAACTTAATTGCAGCCAAAGTGAGCCCTGGGCTGTGTCACCATAATCCATTCTGACAGGAAGCAGTGAGTGGAGATTCCTACTGTGAAAGGAGCACATGTGAAAGGTCAGCTTTGGCTAGAACTTCAAAACCGTTAACGTGTAAAACAGTGTGCATTAGAGCCCGGAACGGCCAACCACTGGATTAGCGGATGTCCGTTGTTGGGTCTGATGTGCTTTTGGCAGGTAATGGTTAATTTGTAAATAGGCAATGTATTGTAACTTTCTTCTCTGCCTCTTCCCAGCATTTACCAGCAGAACCCATTCTTAATTACAGTCCAGAATAAATGCAGTCTTAGAGTTATGACATGGTCTCATTATAAGTTTCTTATTTTTTAAATAAAACTTGTTTTTTAATTGAAATTCTTTATTGTTGAAAGTATTACATATGTCTCCTTTTTCGAAACTTGTTTTAATAATTTAATGAAGGAAAAGTTGCATGTATTTAAAAAATAAATGTGTTGATATAATGAATGTTTTTCATGTAAAATTAATGTATGTTTATCCAATAGCAACTATAATAGCCAAATGAGGATTTCATTAGAAGAAATACATACTTTACTCAAATACCATAATCTGAAAAACCAATTACATAATACTATGTTACATGGCTTAATATAAAATCTAAATTAAAATGCAGTTAATATCAGTTTCCATTTTTCAGCAAGATGTTATTTATGAAAGAACCAAGCTAAATATTATCTTATAAGCAAATGAATATAAAAATACTTTATACATATTTAGTGCTATAAAATTGGTCCATTTGGCTTTAAAGTAACAATTTCCCCTATATCTAAACCAGTTAAGGTAATATGGCATTAATGAGTGATAAAAGCTGGTACTAGGTACTTCAAGTCAATGATTATTTTAGGGTTAACACATTTCTGAGTTGAGGAGAAATACTATTTCTCTGGAAATGAGTAGGTCTTCTAAAATAAGTCTTAAAAAACTAAGTCTTATTTCTGTTCTCAAAATCATCCTTCTAAGGTTGTGTCTTTGGCCATTGGACAGATGCAGCTCCTTGGCCCTGTGGAGGCTAAATCCAGGGATCATGAAGATGCTTACATGGCAAGGATAGCCTCATCACCAGCAAACTCATGATTCCTATTCCCTTCAGAATGTCAACTGACACCCTTAGAAACAAAATCACACATGAGCTAACAAATGGAATGAAAGACTGAGAAGAATCTGTGATAATCAGCAAAACAAATTATCAATTTCTTATGTTTCTGTTTTCCATACTATAAAGGATCTGAAACCTTTAATGTATTTGGAAGATTCAGAATCTTCCTAATTGTCTGTTTTTGAAAGTATGGGATTCATTTACCAATCTGCTGCTCTTCCTGGGCTCCAGGCCCTGGCACACAATCTCTGCTGCTCAAGGAGCTTATAATGTAGTGGGAGAGGGCAGAAAGGTCATCCATGAAGACCGGTAAGACGTAAAGGAGGGCCCTGACCGGTTTGGCTCAGTGGATAGAGCGTCAGCCTGTGGACTAAAGGGTCCCGGGTTCGATTCCGGTCAAGGGCATGTACCTTGGTTGCAGGCACATCCCCAGTGGGGGGTGTGCAGGAGGCAGCTGATTGATGTTTCTCTCTCATTGATGTTTCTGGCTCTCTATCCCTCTCCCTTCCTCTCTGTAAAAAAATCAATAAAATATATTTAAAAAAAAAAAAGAAGTAAAGGAGGTAGAGGATGAAGCAATCAAGAAAGGCTAGAAACAGCCCAAGTGCCAATCGGTAGATGAATGGTTTTAAAAAAAATGTGGTACATTTACACTATGGAATACTATGCAGCTATAAAAAAGGATCTCTTACCCTTTGATGAGTATTATACTAAGTGAAATAAGTCAGTCAGAGAAAGACAAGTATCACATGTTCTCACTTATATGTGGAATCTAATGAACAAAATAAACTGACAAACAAAATAGATCCAGAGACATGAAAGCATGGAACAGACTGAGGATCCTCATAGGGAAGCGGGGGGGAGGGGGGGCAGGGGAGGTAAGAGATCAACCAGAAAGGGGACATCTGGCCCTAGCCAGTTTGGCTCAGTGATTAGAGCTTCGGCAGGCAGACTGAAGGTTGGCAGGTTCCATTCCAGTCAAGGGCATGTACCTCAGTTGCACACTCAGTCCTCAGCCCTGGTTGGGGCGTGTACAGGAGGCAACCGATTGATGTTTCTCTCTCTCTGTCTCTCCCCCTTCCTTTCACTCTCTCTAAAAATCAATAGAAAAAATATCCTAGGGTGAGGGTTAACCAAAAAAAAGGGAGAGGGGGAGACATCTGTAATACTTTCAACAATAAAAATAAATTTTTAAAAAAAAGAGAGAAAGGCTCTGAGAGGCTGGTGCTGGGCACATCCATAGAGTAGAAACTGCAATAGATTCACAGTAGGACACCTATGTTCCCCAGGAGCTGAATTTATCCTACGTACACAAATGCAAAGAGATGTCATAATTCACCAAAAAAATGTTTCACAAGGCTCCAAATTGGTCATTAATAGGTATTTTCTTATACAGTTAAGTGATTAATTACACCTGGTAACACACTAAGTACATATAACTATTAATTTTGGCCTCACTCCTAATCGTTTTTTCCGTCACCACAACCCTTTCAACATAGTAATTCTTGGCTACCGTTCCACTTCCTTGGTGAGCCTCGGGCTCAAAGAAGCTTATGAACTTAAATCCAAAAAGATGGTCAACAGAGAGAAAGTGCCTCCACGCTGAGTTCCACCTTAAAGCAGATA